GTCGTTTAACAGTAGTAAAATTTAATTATAACATTATTTGGCTTATTAGAAGAGTCGAATATGATAATTTTGATTTTTTACTTTATCTATGAACTTAGACTTAAATTTTTTTTAATTATATATTAAAAATATTACTGAAATAATTGTTATTTATATATGAAGAATTATTAGTTCGGTTAAAATCGGTCAAAATCGGTCAGTCAACCGATCGGTCAGAAGCCTTTGACTGACTTATATCGATCACGGTTATTAATGTTGAATACTTAAAGTAAAAAAACTTTGGATATAGTAGTGACGTTTCCCTCGTGGTGTATAGATAAAACCGGAAGAGTCGATCCAATCGGAAAATTTTCCGATATAAAAAGTGTTGTCCTGATTAAACCAGGTTTACCAGCTCGGGTGTTTACTTTCACCAATGACTTTCGTTTTTAACAAAAATAATTTCAACGCACCAACTCCCTTGGTTACTAAACCTAGAAATAATATAAATTTTTGTCCATTTAACAGCAGCACAAAGAGCAACACAATGGTTTCTTTTGTTAACGATATTAAGAGCAACACGAAAACTCCTTTTGTAACCAATTTTAAGAACAGTACAATAGAGCCTTTTGTTACTGAGAATAATAGTAACGTTATAACTCCTCTTAACAACAAGACTAAAACTAACAAAGTCCGGTGGAAATTATCCGAAGCCCCTCAACAAATACTTCAGTTATTCAACGACCCAAATGCGGCTATTGTCAGTGATAATAGTTTAACAAATAATGACGGTAACAGTTCTTCAAGTACGGTTAACTTTTCCTATGAATACTCAAGAATTATACACACCAACAAAATATGCAATTACTTTCGTGATACACAAATTAACATATATTTAAAATTTTCAAATAATAGTTGACGGTACAACAGAATCTCATTTACGTAGATCAAACGTTAAAAGATCTAAACGGAATTCATTCAGAAAACAAATGTATCCGCGAAGGTCACCAGATTCTTCGTCGGATGATGATGATTACGTGTTGAGAGTTAATATTTACGAAATATATCGCAAAAATCCGAATCTATTGTTAAAGACCTTAAAAGAAAGTAAAGAAGTTGAACAAAAACCAAAGGAGAATCCATTCGTTTTAAGTTTAAATGAATTGATCTACAAGATAATTTTATTAAACATTAATCATAATTCATTGAATTTCACTAAATGTCGTATAACATGGCATAATGGATCTAAACCACTCTATATTAAAGATTTGGAGGGATATAACTTGCTTCATGATGAGGAGCGTAAAGTTTGTTCAACATTGCGAATGCCACCATTGCAGTATTTGAGAGGAAAGTTGGCAATACTTAACGCTGCAGAAGAGTTCCAGAGTAATAATAAAATTTTCAAGAAAGTAGACGCTCAACATTTAGTAAACTTTGATGTAAATAAGGCTTCTAAACTTTGGCAATTTTTTAATAGGCTCGGCTGGATTTAATTTACGTTGTGAAGCAAGTATACAGTGTGGAAGGTCATGAATGTCATGATATTCAATATAGTAGGGGAATTTATCGTTCACGATTTTTTTTTTTTTTTTTCTCCTTTTATATAGAAATTCTTTTCGAATAAATAAATGAGATAGCTGATTTTGAAATTAAATGCAATGATCATAATTAATTGGAAAACTATATTGATAAGTATTAATTTATTTAATTTATTAAACATTAAGAAATCAAATAATTTAACGTTAATGTTATTTGTTATGATTTTTGATCTTTTGGTATTACCAATTATTTGTTCAGCCATATTTAAAAAAAAATATATATAATTATCCTATATTATTTATAAGTAGGTTTATTACCATAATTTTTTTATAATTGATCTCCGTGTAAGATTTTTATATGTATTAATAAATTCTGGCCGAAACTCATAATCACGATACCGAATGACCGAAATTGAAAATCTCGACTAGTGCAAATTTCGCAAAATATTTAATACATTATTAAAATTTTCATATTTTTATTTTCTACCAAATTTATTTATCGCGCCCGCGACAAATTGTTATATGTTGTTTTATTTATAATCACGGGATATAGATTTTTGTCCCACTTTTCGGCCAATTCGAAGTATCAAGATGGATAAAGTCTGAACACATTGCATAATACTTAAGCTTAATCTGTGATGTTAAGATGTCTTTCAACGTCTACAATGGAGCTTGCCAGAGATAGACTTTTTGTCTTTTATGTTAAGGTCCTCGGCACACTTCATATAAACCTTCTGGGTTCGTTCAAGGGTGTCTTTGATACTAACAATATAGGATTTATTAACATGGGAATAATCAATGTCGGCAAACATATTTTTGAGCATTCCCAAAATGTTCTCCAAACTTCAAGAGACTCTCGGAGGCTTATGCGCTTTCTAGTCGCTCAGCGATTTGCTGACCCAATGAAATGAACCTTCAATAATGCTGACGATGTTGGTCATTGTAGGAAATAACGACGAGATTTATAAGTTAACTCGAAAGGAACTTGTGAAATTCAAATTCATAACTGCGGACCTGGTCTGAATAACTATTTAACTATTCTGCGCCATCAACTAAAAAATGTTCCGAATAAGTTTTAATACACTTACTTTCCTTTGCACAGAGAAAAATTTTAAACTAGGGAACGGAAACCGTTATGAGTCCGAAGCGAAATTCACTGTGTGGCAATCCCAAAATTACATAATGCTAGCCGAAGTTCTCATAATTTTGTTCAAAATCTCTATAATATATCAAAATTGTATATAATTATTTATAATAAAATTTTTTTTTGCATCATACGTCATATGGGTAAATTTTAGTAATACAATATTTTAGCTATAATTTTATTAAGGTATGTAGCGTAACATTTTAAATTGGCAATTTACATATTTAGTTCTATTATCAATCTGTAAAAAAATTCTTTTGATCCTATCACTAAATTAGTTAAAAAAATATCAAAAGAAAAGGATAACGCCATTGACATGAAACAATACTCGCTATTTACAATAATTCTCCATAACGATATATTATATAAAACTTAAACTGTATTGCATCAATTTTAATAACTTTAAGCACGAAATCATAATAATTTTGGCTGAAATGAGCAAACCACATCTTAATCACAGAAGTCACATGACTGAGATCTCTTTTGACGGATTACGCTGGGTAGTTACTATATCGGGTTAATTCCCTAAACTATTACTCTAAAAATGGAACAATTTCACATTGTCGATCAATATATTAGTAATACACCAATCGCATCAAAAGTTTATGTTTCTTTGGTGTTATAAATTTTTTTTTTAATATCGTATTTTCTAATACATCTTTTTTTTTTTTTTTTTATCATTTCTACATCTATTGCTTATCAACAAGAAGCTGAAAACATTCCATATGAAAAAAATACATCGAGTTCTTTCCCTGTAAAGAGTGTTCACTCCAGCATTTTTGTTTCAACAGTTTTTGATAGAGAAAAAGAAAACACATCACAACACTCGTTGTGTTGCTCAGGAACTCCTAAACGATAAAAAAAGTAAGTATAGTGGGATGAAAAATTTAGACGGATGGGGGTTGCGTCTATCAACCTGGTTTTGGTAGGCCTTATGGAATTTTCCAGTTACAGTTTTTCGATAAAGGTCCGTTGACTCTGAAATGAGGATCGACCATGTACCTTCTTTACTCTTAACTAAAACTTATAACTTTACCGGTACTCGATATCAATCTTTGCCTTAACTAAAGTTTACTACTGGAATTTTCCTGCATCCGTCATCTAGTCTAATTTTTGTCTGATTATTCTTACCATGAAATGATTCTCAAATGAACTTGCTTTTTATAGGATAACGGTAAGATCGTTCAAGTCTTATGGATAAAGTGATGCATATCACCATTACCATCATCACCGTCACCTAGTGATGTTTTAGGAAAGGACAAATTATTGATATCATTGTTATCATTCTCCAAATATTATTGATGTTGTTATCAAGCTACCCTTTGAATGCATGAATTTCCTAATGTACAAGGTGTATGTATGCCTTCTACTTTGAATACCAACCTGCGAAATGCCATAGAATAACCAAAAAAAAAATCTAATTACCATTTTCCAGACGATGCTAGGACCGCGCATGGCGTTTTACATATTTGTATGACATTTTATTGGAGCAATCCTTATAATTACGAAATTCAACATTTTAACCTACTAATCCGAAGCAATGATCTATCAGCTTAGAGCAGTGATTCTTGTATTTATTTCTTTTCAAGTATTACTATTCAAGATCAATTATATAGACTTGCCAATTTCAGGCCCTGTTAGAAATATCCTTTTAATGTTTACATCTATTATAGTGAGACGCGTTATATCACCCAATATTAATTATCAACTCAATCTGCTGTATTTTTAAAATAAAATATTTATTTATATTTTTAAAAACATCAAGAAATATTAATACATAAAATTACATAATTAAAAAAAAAATGAAAGTTTAAAAATATATATGTATGTAAATGTGTAAAGTGAGTGAATGTTCGTTACTATCAAAAAAAATCTCTTATTAGGTATATTATTATACTCAAACCACTTCATATAAAATTAATAATCTAAAAAGGCAAGCCAATTAAAATTCTTTTATGATTTTCAAATCTAAATTATCGTTTCTTATATTTCTGTAATAAAAATATTCAATTATTTTAAACTTTAAATTCCATAAAATTAATAAGAAAATTTATGAATAAATAATACATACATCTTCCATTTGTAATTTCTTATTGGGATCAATTGTATTTCGTAAACCAAGTAAAGTCTTCGATACAGCCTCAGAAGTTCCAATCATAGGTTTTAAAACAGCAACAGGAACTGCTCGTATCACAGCCTTGACCGTTCCTTGGGTTCCAGTCTTTTCATATACCTCCCTCCATAGGTACAGCAAATATTGTATGAGCTGTAGTATCGTAAACTCTTATAAGCTGCTTCAATGCCTAAATAAAAATTATCAGAAATGTTTTGATAAACTATAAAATATCAATAAAATTATCTTCATTCAAATCTGCTGGCCGATCAGCGTATTTGCTTATTAATTCCTTAATATTGTCTTCTTCGCTATCAAACTCCTCATCTATGGTACTTGCTGTAGGATTAGTACTACTCCTTGTGTTGGTGTCATTTTGAGATTCGAAAGAAAAGAATTTCATCTGCTTGTTCAAGCAAAATCTGCGTTCCAACCGCAAGTTTGGTACCAAATCTGATTGTTTCCATAGTTGTGGCTCGTGCAAACGACTCTGTCCCTTTTGTAAACCTCTAATAATCCTACCATCTTTCTTATATTGTTCAATTGGTAAGAGAATAAGATCAGCAACGTCCGAACCTAAATTAACTAACGACCACACCAGATACTACGTTGGGCACTTGAGTGCTCTTTATATGTGGTAACCATGCTGCACCCAATTCCTAAAATAGACGTTGACATCCTTGATCATTAAAATAAATTATTCATTGTGATCAAGAAACTCGGTAAAAAAAATCGAATGATTTGATTATTTGAACTCTCCCCTGTCAACTAAACATTACTTAAGGTCATTCCGGGCGCATATGCGATAAAAACTTATTCAACACAGACGTCTTTATTTCGTCTAGAATTTCTATATCTCGGACAAGAAGTAACAGCCTAAAAGCTAATGAATTGTCATCGGGAAAAATATCGAATTCCAAATTCACTTTTTCAAGTTTTATGTCAATTTTGCTAGAGCTTGAGCGA